TTAAACCTCATTTGTTGTTGCATAAGGTAATGGCACCTCACAGGACCACTTTGAATTTGAAATAAGCAGCGGACTCACTGATTCAATATGGATTTCAGAGCCAGTCAGGTATCAGGAATATTGTGTAGTCGGAATATGCCAAGTTTTGCGTTTCATACTGAATCTCCCATGCATTAATATACACATATATATCACCTCAGCTGCCTACCCCAGTCCACGGACGTACGCAGGAGCTTGTGTTAGAGGATAAATTTGAATTTATAAAATTTCACGGAGCGAACTTGAACTTATAAAATTGTAAGGGGATGAAAATATATTTTCAATAGAAAATATATAAAAAATCTAAAATATACGATAATTTTAAATTTTCAGAGGGCGACACCCCATCGTCCCGCTAGCTATTTCTATTTCAAATTTTGTTGCTTTATCATTATCAAAACTTATATTTTCAGTATCAAATAGTTACATAAATTTCAATTATATTCAGAGTTAAATTAGGTTAAATCTATAAACGAAGATTAAAAAATTATTTCAATAAACACGAACTAACTTACCTCAATGATTAAAATAATCATTGCTATTTTGAGAGGTCACGAGTTCGATCACCAGCAAAAAACTCAAAGTCGTCAAAGAACACAAATTAGCCGTCAAACAATAAAAATATGATTATTCAAAAATAATTTTTTTATTAATAAATCATACAAAAGAAAATTTACAACTCAATCGAAAAACTCTAAAAAAAATAGTAAATACAAACAAACATGATAAAATCATTAGTATTAACATAAAAATGAATATAAATTTAACAACGATGACGTACTGACAATTAATTTTATCACAACTTAAACATAACATGTTTGAGACAAATACTGGGAACATCTATAAATACGAGAAAATCAACCTAAAATTTAAATTAAAAATAAATAAATAAGATAACTAAATAAACGTCAAGATACATTATCAAATATAACCTTTAAAAAATACTACAAATACAAATAGAAAATATATATCGTCTTCATTAAAAATAAATATTTTAATAAATAAAGTAACATAAAAATCTGACTATGTCTGATAAATATTATTATAGATACAAATATTATTATATTAACATACGACAAATATAATAATAAAGAACAATGACATCATTCTTTCAAAAAGTGATATAATATGAGTCTTTCTTGTATCCACAACATCATCATAAATATTAGAACTTGTAACTAAACAACCCTACAGAATTAAAATAATAAATGGTCTCAATTAAATTAGTTTATTAATTGTTGCATTTGACTTTCTTTCTTTATATATATATAGCTATAATTAATTATATTTGCATTTTGAATTTCCCGCCATTGAGTAACACTTTTTCTTTGTTAATTCGAGATAAATACAATGTAATAATTTTTTAAAGATAACAATTAATCATTTGATATCATTCTATAATCTACCTCTAACTTAAAACTCTATATTATAAACCTTAAGTTATAGATTAGGGTATAGGGCTTATTGTTTAAAGGTTGTAGGGTTATGGTTTATGATTTATAATTTGCGGTTTTAAGTTAAGAGTAGGTTACAGAATGATGCAATTGAGCAACTTCGAGGGTTAAATTAATGGGAAAATACGATAAGGACAAAACTGATAAATTGAGTCTACTATAATGGCAAAAGTTATCATTTTGCCTTTTAATTGTAATTGAAGTGATAGAATATATGTACTTTTTTATATCAAAATTGTTTTTTCTTTCTTTAAAAAGGTCAAAAAATCAAAATTAAAGGTCGATGATCAAATATAAAAATATAGGGTAAAGTACACAAATGGTTCGTCAACTATATGATAGTGTTTTATTGAGTCATTTGACTATTAAAAGTTATAAAATGATCCATCAACTATAAGAAGTTGCTTTGTTGAGTCCCTCAACTATGAAAAATTACAAAATGATCACTCGACTATTCATATATGTTCAAAACTCATCATTTTTTGTTAAAAACTTAACAGTAATGTAAGCTGGACGTTAACACATTGACTTAGATATGATAGTTGTTTGAGATTATAAAATCATATTTTAAAATATCTCAGTCAAGGTTAACATTTTAATGGAACAGAACAAGTTTGGAACATAATGAATAATTTGTGACAATTTTGTAACTTTTAATATTCAAGGGACTCGACAAAGAAATTTCCTATAGTCGGATGATCATTTTATAACTTTTAATAATCAAATGACTCAATAAAATAATATTCTATAATCGGGAACCATTTATGTACTTTACCCGAGAAATCAAATAAATAATTCGCTGTAAATTGTTTAAACCATTGATAAAATCAAGTTCTAAAATCGAATTCAAAAAACCTATTTCATTTGTGTTAGAATTTATTTCTTTAGCCTAGGGTTGAGGAAACATTTTTGTATATTTCAATTAAATTTACTGTATAAGTATATAATAATGCAATTCACTGACGGGAGTTGGATTCAAGTGATAAGTAGTTTGATATCGCTTAAGCAATATATCGAGTTCGAGTCTTTGTGCAAAAGTCCTCTGTTAGGAGATTCATCCACCAAAGTCAAATGTACAACGCAAATCAATCTAGACGAAACCTTGAAACTTAAATCACAAGAAAATATAATACAATTCAAATTTACAAAGCCTAACTTATACTGTACATGTATGTAAGAACTGTAGCTTCTCTCTCATATTTAAATTTATTCCTTCCCCTGATGTGATTCCTCTAATCGGTTAGGTTTTCCACTCATTACGAATTTAGTATCCAAATTATTAGTTTTAATTTGTATTAGTATTTAAATTTTTAATTTTATTAAATTATATATAATATTTAATTTTTAATTTATTTTAGTACACCGCGTTAAAAATTTAATACGTTTAGTACCAAAACTATTAGTTTTGGTATGTTTTAGTATCTAGGCTATAACTTTTCTCAAAACTTAAAGTTAAATTTTAAACGCAAATATTAAAATAAATTAAAAATTAAATTTTTTATTGATGGGTACGGAAATGAAAAAAAAACTAAATTTTAGTTATTATTTTAAAAAATAAAATTTAAAAACCAAAATATACCAAAATTAATAATTTAGATACTAAATACGTAATTTATATTTTTTTCCAAAATTTATGGAGATTTTCGTACCACTTGTTCATTCTCTCGCACAGTATTTTTTAGATATTTTCAATATGTCTACCTTGATTAATTTTATTAATAAAACACCTTAAATACAACTAAAAGAGAATAAATAAATAAAAAATTGAATGCATGTATGATACATAGTTTGATTTTGAATAATAAATAAATAAAAAGAATTGTATATTATCTTATTTTTAAATTGAGAATGAAGAAGACTAAAAATTCAAGAATATTTCATATATTGATGAGTAAGTTTTGAAAAAAGAGAAAAACATGAGTAATTTTAATTTATAATTGAATGAATAAATAAGAGAAATGGAAAAAGAGGGTCAAAACTAAACATTTTATGAAATTACAAAAATTAAGGACCCTAATTATAAATACAAAAAAATTGAGAGCACCGAGCGGTTGCTCAAGGTGCTTCCCCCTAGAGCCGACCCTGTGTGTGTATATATATATTTTGTTGCCCTTCCGGTTCTTAAGGTCTCGTATTGACTAATTCAGACCGAGTCGGATCGTACACCTAACTGTGGTGAGTGAGACTTTCGACAAGAATTTTATGCATACATAGATTTGAATTATATATCTACTTAAGTAATATAAAACTATTTATCACTGGTCCATGTATATTTCCGTAACATAAAATCAAAATAATCATAGTGGAATCATATTATTTACTACACTTTATGCTTTTTTACTTTTTCTAAGATTCTTTTCAACTGGCGTTTACGTCGTATAAAGTTAAAGATAAAGTGGAGAAAGAATATAAAAAAGTGGAATCATAGGAACCTAAAATAAGATGCAATCGGTTTTGTTATTATTTAAATAATAAAATCAGTAAAATATTTATCTAAAATATTATTATTTTTATTTAAAATATCATTTTTTAACATTTTCGGTAAAAGTGTCCAATAATAATAAAATCGATAGAAAAAATAACAAAATCGATAACACTTTACTAAATCCGGTAAAACGTCCAATAATAATAAAGTCGCTAGAAATAATAATGTTTATGATAATTTTTTATCGATTTTATTGTTTAAATAATAAGAAAATATGTTGTAATTTGAAGTAGCTAGGGTTATTGTAAAGTGGGGGTTTTGGTGGTTAAAGCAGCAAAGTCTTAGCCGTAGCCTGCATGCATGCTTCAGCTTTGGCTCCACAAATAGTAAAATTAGACGTACGTAGCATGAATCTTCCCACCTAATCCATGCACACCAGCTTTACCACCTCTTCTTTTCTCCTTTCTCTTTTGGATTTTATCCTTTTTCATCTCTCTTCTACAAGCTCAAATTCCAATGAATTGAAAACCAATCCTAGTTTAATGTGTAAATAAGGGATGGATCAAGAGGTGTTGGGACTGCGATTGTAATTCTAGAAATTTTATTTGTTTTATATTTTAAGTATTTTTATATAATTATTTAATTTTGTATCCTTTAAATTTTTAATACAATTTCTTAAATTCACACCATTCGTCATGATAAATTTCTCTCTTTCTCTTAACTCAATGAACTAAGTTTAATAATTCATCTAAAACAACGGGAATGCACTTAACTCCTATAGGATTTAGTACATTCATCTTTGATTAAAATACCTTTTAGCTTTAACGATAGATGTATGTAAGTTTAATCAGATTTAATATTAAATGTATATATTATTTTAACACAACGTACATAAATTCTACCGACATAATCACTTGAACCCAAGATTTTTAGACAGAACAATATTTATTTTAACAATATTGAAATAAGAGAAAAGAAAATAATCTTAAGGTACCCATAGCACAAAGTATATGTTACATTGAAATACTCCAACTTTGGAGAACCTAAATTGTGTAAATCCTTTTAACATACCCTAGAAGTATATACAAAATATATCAAAAAAAGGGGTATAATGGCCATTTCATCCACGTGTATAGTCCCACAAAGACCCCAACGAGTAGCATCTCATCACGTGAATGACGCATGTGATCCTAAAAGGCCAGCCCTTTCCACGTTTCGATTCGACAACCTTTGGAAGTTGAAACCAGGACACCAAAGTCCCAAATCGGTCGCCGTTTCATTTACCAGTGCCTCCAATATTCCCTTCTCGATCTCAGACACGACCCCTTCTGCTTCTTCCGCGTACGCCACCTCACTCTGGAGCTTCGTTTCCGGAAAATCTTTGCTGATCAAGGCATCGATGTCTTCAAGAACGCGGCAATCAGTTCGAGGAAACTCCATGATTTTCGAACACAATGTGTCTATAAGTTGAGACCCATCCATGCTACTAAAATATTCACGTCGACCGAGTCCACTCATAACCCAAGGCTTCGTATTGAAAAACGGCTTCAAAAATTCAATCAAGATTTCATCAATGAGATGGAACAATAATTTTCGGTTGCATCGAAGGGTCAGTTGACCGGGACTGGTTGTTTTATTACAGGCGGTGAAATGTTCGAGGTAGTAAAAAATGGAAAGGTTAAGAGGACGGGAAGGAGAGAACCAAGAAGCTAAGGACAATGGGGTATCTTTTTCTAGCCCTGTACGTCTTAGTATTCTAGCGATGTACTCATGATATTCCGCTGCTTCTTCGCCTGTTGTGGTGGCGCTTGTAGCAGTAGTATCGTCGTTACATCTGTCGCCGATGTTTTCGTGTTGGGGAACGTGCACGTACGTCGCTTCTTGTTTGTTGTACGTTTGGCTCGAACAACTAGATAACTGTGTGCTACGTTTCGGTCTTCCAGCATCCAAGACCTGTAACTCATCCAAACAATAAACTCATAAAGTAAAAAAAAATCCCGTTTTTATTTTCTGAAAATGAATGGTAAAAGTAATATTTGAATACCTGTTTTTGAGGGATTTTCGTGGCCGGAGGAGAAGGATCTTTTTTTACCGGAAAGATGTTGAGGAGATCATTTGACAATGGAGTTTTCTTACATTTCTTGTCTGGAATGTGAATTCTGTTGGCTGTTGAAGGACGAACGAATGGCTCTTCTTGCTTAGGCCTTTTCACTTTCTTACATTTGCTTGTGGCTCTGGGTGGCTGGTGCTGGTGGTTTTCCTGCTCATCTTGTTCCTCTTCAACCGGCAGCAACTTGGGCTTTTGTAAAACTCTGACGGGCTGAGTCTGCATTTTGATCACCGGAACTGTTGCCGCCGGTACTGCTATTGATGGTTTGCCGGAGCTCTTGTACTTGAAATGGCTAACAAGCTCCTCTCTAGCTTGCTCCCTGTTCCGAACCGTGTTGGTAATGTCCGTTCCGACTTTCCTGCCCACACTTGCTTTAACCTGCTTAACTATCTGCCTGGCGTACTGACCGGGGCTCTTGTCGTTCTCGTCTTCGTGATTATGCTCTTTCCTCTTAAGCGCTCTGAGACGAGAGATCATCGACTTCTCGGTTGCACTCATGTTCTCCTTGTTGATCTGAAGCGAGAGCCGGTGGTGAAGATCGACGTTCGACCTCCTCGAAGAAGACGAAATCCTCGGAGTTTCCGGCAACGAACGAGTGCCCCGAATATAACTGTCCAATGACCTCCGATGTCCACTTATTGGCTTCAAATGTGAGGAAAAAGATGGTGAATGGGTTTCAGGAAGAATGTCGAGACCCATAAGCCTAGCAACCAAGGTGGGCGTCTTGGTCCCTGGAGAGCTACTTATCTCTGAATATATGTCTGTTATGTCTCCACTCGTTTTAATTTGAATCCCCATCTGGATTTTGCACACACAAATATACATAAACATTATCATTACCATCATCATTACTCGCTTCTCAAAAACCCACCACCTTGAAAATCAAAACAAAGGGACAGGAACCCGAAAAGTTTAAATAAAATAGCCATTCTTACAGGGATATTCAAATTTTCTTCTTCTTTACTGGTCGATATCAAAGAAGCCGAAGCCGAAGCTGAAGTTGAACTTTCCCCCTTTGATTCCAAATTATTCCTTGGGGCCTCTGTACCTTTGAGAGCCGTGGGGACGAAGGCGCTGCGGGGAGAGATAAAAGATTGGTTCGGCTTGAAACAACCGCCGCCGCCGCTAGTCGGAGTTGAATTTTTAGTTTGGTTTAATGGAAACCGGAAGTGATGAAAATCGAAGAAGTGGAAGACGGCGCTTATGCAACCAGTGGGAGTGGTATCAGCTGCTGCTGCTCTCTCTTGGAGCTGGCTGTGGATGTTTTAGCAGCTCCGCTTCCCCGATACCAGTCCCTTCCCATCTCCGATTCGAGAAAAAGGAAGACGGGGGTTCGATGAAGATAGAAGAGAAAGGAAAGAGATGGGAAAGGGTGTAAAGTTTTAGTATTATTTATATGAAGCTGGTGAAGGAGCGAGAAAAGCGGATCCCTCGAGCATAATAATTAAAACGGTTACTTTTTCATTCAATATATATTATTTTTTAGTTCAATATAAAAATGAGTAAAGTACACAAATGGTCCCCAACTATAGAATGTTGTTTTATTAAGTCCATTGACTATTAAAAGTTACACAATGATCCCTCGATTATAAGACACTTTTTTTAGTCCATCGACTATTAAAAGTTACAAAATGGTCACCCGACTATTCATTGTGTTCCAAACTCATCATTTTCGTTAAAAAGTTAATGACAATTTGAGTTGGACGTTAACTTGTTGACTGAGATATGATATAATTTGATCCCAGAATCTCAAAAAAATATGATATCATAGTCAGCATGTTAATATCCAGCTCAAACTACCATCAATTTTTTAATTGAAAATTACGAGTTTAGAACACAATGAATAGTCGAGTGTCTATTTTGTAAATTTTAATAGTCAGATGACTAAAAAAGGCAATGTCCTATAATCGGGGAGCCATTTTATAACATTTAATATTCAGGGGACCATATGCGTATTGTACCCTATAAAAATTAATATTTAAATACAAAATATTATATTTTTAAAAATAACTCTTAGATATTCAATCATTTTAGTGTTCCAACTCAAAACTTTAATGAATAACATTTTTTAAGATAAATGTTTAACATTTTATTATATTATTATTTTAAGATGAAATAATTACCTTTCATACAAAATTCATCATTTGATAGATGATTTTTTTTATAACCACATGTATATAATATATTGATCGACTAATCCGAATCGAGTATTGTAGAGGCAGAGACGACCCTCTCAATTCAATTTATTTCATTCGTAATCACCAAAATTTGAACTGCAGACGAAGTGGTTGTTGGTATTTGATAGATGCATGACACAATATTTTTTTAAAAAAAATCCTTATTATGCAATAAACTTAAAATTATTTTAAACCCCTAACATCCATAGAATTTAATCTTTAGGGTGTGTTTGGTTGGGGGAATGTGAGATTCCCATGGGAATGGAATCCACATTCCCTCGTTTGGTTGGTCGGGAATGTCATTATCGGTAATCTTACATTATCAATAGTGGATTTTTTGGGGTATATTACCGGGAATGTCTTTACCTCTCTTTCCTTAGGTATTGTTGGATTACCGACGTTTTGGACTAAAATGCCCTTAAATTTTTTTCTTTCAAAAATATATTTATTCTGTCATTGAATAATAAAAATTCTACGAATGTTAAATTATAAATTTATGCTTAAACTATTTTAGATTTACAAAAAAAAAATCTATAATTAAAATCTATAATTATAAATTTATGCTTAAACTATTTTCCAACTTGTTAAAAAACAAATATATAATAAGGATAATTTTGTCAAATATACATTTCAATAATATTGTATTCTTTTAATTAAACACAGTAATCTTACATTCTTGTTGAATCAACCAAACACAAAATACAACATTACCAGTAATACTATTCCCTGATAATCTTTTATTTCCACTGATAATCTTTTATTTCAACTAGTAATTTTTTATTCCTATTAGTAATTTTACATTCCGTGAACCAAACGTATGTTAGTTGTATATAATTTTTTGGAAATGAGTTTGACTGAGTCTTTAGTACAGTGAGTGGGCTGTATAAAAATGGTGGAAGGTGATAAGATGACGCACTTGCCTTTCTTTCTTTCTTTCTCTCTCTCTCTCTCTCACCATTTGGACATAGAAACAAGAAAGCTCTCACTCTCAAGCTCGATTTACAAAGTGATTACCCTTTGTATTTTGAAATATCAGGTGCTTTATTTTATTATTGTCCCTGCAGGTGCAATCTGATCTACCCATGCCCAGCAGTTATGGTCATTAACATGACCTTTTTACTTTTTATCCCTTTCCGATTTCCTTTTCTATCCCCCACGTCACTTTCGAGATGCCACCCCATAAGTTCAGTTTATCGAATATGAACTATTCATCCTTTCTGATTCGAACAGAGAACTGAGGTCGATGAAGAAAACTATAGTTAACAAATGTGTTTTTATATTGCGTAGAGTAAGGGAATGTGGAGAGGGAAGAAGAAGGAAGAAAAGGTCCTTTTTTTTACAATTGTGGGGTTTATAGTACATGGTTATGTTGGATGATTTAAATAAGACGAAATAAATTGTGAGTTACTCGAGATCGATTTAGTCAAAGTTCGATAAATACTTGACTCAAGCTCGAGCTTGACTCGAGTGTTTAACGAGTCGAAACGAGCTACTTGATACTAGACTCGAAAAGTTCACGAGTAACTCGAATATATAATATATTAAGATTTTATTATTTTTAAAAATAAATTATTAATAATATTAACATTTATGTTTTGATTTAAAAAACAATATAAAATTTTAATTTATTTAAGGTTCATATTCGAGTTAAATTTAAGATTCTTTTTACAATTGTGGGGTTTATAGTGCATGGTTATGTCTATGGCTGTAAATGAGATTAGATCGATCGTGAGCTACTTGAGATCAACTCAGTCAAAGTTCGATAAATACTCGACTCAAGCTCGAGCTACTTGATACTCGACTCGAAAAGCTCACGAGTAACTCGAAAATATAATATATTAAGATTTTATTATTTTTAAAAATAAACTATAAATAATATTAACATTTATGTGTTGATTTAAAAAAACAATATAAAATTTTAATGTATTTAAGGTTCAGATTCGAGCTAAATTTAAGATTCTTTTTACAATTGTGGGGTTTATAGTGCATGGTTATGTCTATGGCCGTAAATGAGACTAGATCGATCGTGAGCTACTCGAGATCGACTCAGTCAAAGTTCGATAAATACTCGACTCAAGCTCGAGCTTGACTCGAGTGTTTAACGAGTCGAAACGAGCTACTTGATACTAGACTCGAAAAGTTCACGAGTAACTCGAATATATAATATATTAAGATTTTATTATTTTTAAAAATAAATTATTAATAATATTAACATTTATGTGTTGATTTAAAAAACAATATAAAATTTTAATTTATTTAAGGTTCATATTCGAGTTAAATTTAAGATTCTTTTTACAATTGTGGGGTTTATAGTGCATGGTTATGTCTATGGCTGTAAATGAGATTAGATCGATCGTGAGCTACTTGAGATCAACTCAGTCAAAGTTCGATAAATACTCGACTCAAGCTCGAGCTACTTGATACTCGACTCGAAAAGCTCACGAGTAACTCGAAAATATAATATATTAAGATTTTATTATTTTTAAAAATAAACTATTAATATTATTAACATTTATGTGTTGATTTAAAAAAACAATATAAAATTTTAATGTATATAAGGTTCATATTCGAGTTAAATTTAAGATTGTTTTTACAATTGTGGGGTTTATAGTGCATGGTTATGTCTATGGCTGTAAATGAGACTAGATCGATCGTGAGTTACTCGAGATCGACTCAGTCAAAGTTCGATAAATACTCGATTCAAGCTCGAGCTTGACTCGAGTGCTTAACGAGTCGAAACGAGCTACTTGATACTCAACTCGAAAAGCTCACGAGTAACTCGAAAATATAATATATTAAGATTTTATTATTTTTAAAAATAAACTATTAATAATATTAATATTTATGTGTTGATTTAAAAAAAACAATATAAAATTTTAATGTATTTAAGGTTTATATTCGAGTTAAATTTAAGATTGTTTTTACAATTGTGGGGTTTATAGTGCATGGTTATGTCTATGGCTGTAAATGAGACTAGATCGATCGTGAGCTACTCGAGATCGACTCAGTCAAAGTTCAATAAATACTCGACTCAAGCTCGAGCTTGACTCGAGTGCTTAACGAGTCGAAACGAGCTACTTGATACTAGACTCGAAAAGTTCACGAGTAACTCGAAAATATAATATATTAAGATTTTATTTTTTTTAAAAATAAATTATTAATAATATTAACATTTATGTGTTGATTTAAAAAAAAACAATATAAGATTTTCATGTATTTAAGGTTCAAATTCGAGTTAAATTTAAGATTCTTTTTCATTTCGAGTTTTTTCGAGCTTCAATATATAGTTTTGAGTTCGAGTCAAGCTTGAAAATTTTAGACTCGCAAGTTTTCATATAGAGTCGAGTTTCATTTCAGAATTTTTGAGTCGAATCGAGCTCAACAATATTCAAGCTTGATCCGACTCATTTACACCCTAGTTATGTCTAATGATGTTAAGTATAAGTCTGTTACGATTGTTTATAGGTTGATAGGTTAAATAAATTTAGTAGTCAGATTTTTATATTTCACACCTGTAAGTTATTTAGACCTATCACTAGCTTTGTCTTGTGCAATGTAAATGATTTCAAATATTATCGATGGGCTTAAGGGTAAATTACACATGTAATACTTAAACTATTTGTTTCGATTTGTTTTAATATCTAATTTTTTTCTAAAATCACACATAACATTTAGTTTTCATTTCATTTTAGTACCTCCACCTTTGAAAAACTTAACGCGTTTAGTCAAGGCCGACTCTAAGGGGGAGCACACTGAGCAATCGCTCAAGCCCCCAATTTTTTATTTATAATTAGGGCCCCTAATTTTTATAATTTCATAAAAATTTTAGTTTTTAACCATCCTTTTCCATTTCTCTTATTGGTTCATTCAATTTTGAATTAAACTTAACCAATTTTTAATATTTATAATAGGGCCCCTAATTTTTATATTTTCATAAATGATTAGCTTTTGACCATCTTTTTCCATTTCTCTTATTCATTAATTTAATTTTGAATTAAATTTAATCATGTTTTCCTCTTTTTTCAAATCTTTCTCTTCAAGTTATGAAATATTCTTGAATTTTTAGTCTTCTTCAATCTCAATCTAACAACAAAATAATTACAATTCTTTTTTATTTATGTATTATTCAAAATCAAGCTATTATCGTACATGCATTCAATTTTTTATATTTATTTTCTTTTAGTTGTATTTAAGGTGTTTTAATTTCTTAATAACATAACAAAATAATATATTTTCACAAAATTTAATCATTTTTCTATGATTTATTTATGTAATATTGAATTAATTATTCAAAGTAATGAAATATATTTTCATTTTATAAAGACATATTTTTGAGTTTTCGCTCAGGGCCCCGACAACGTCTGAGACGGCTCTGCATTTAGTACATAAACTATCAGTTTTGGTATGTTTTAGTACCTAAACTTTTATTTTTTTTTCTCAAAACTTAACGTTAAATTTGAACGGGTACTAAAACGAAACAAAAACTAGAGGTTTTAACGGCGGGTACTAAAATGAAACAAAAGCTAAACTTTAGGTATAATTTTGAAAAAATTGAAAGTTAAATTACTAAAAAGGACCAAAACTGATAATTTAGGTACGAAATACGTAATTTACCCTACTATCAATTGAGCTAAATTCAATGAAAGATCACAGAGAGAGTAGGAGAGGAGGAAAACGAAAGCACTGTTACTTACAGTTAAAGGTGAAGCTTCTAATGGGAATAAAGCAAATTCTCAATGGTAACAAGGGAGAGACACTGTCAAACAGGTAAGAAATTAATGGCGAAAGTGATACCCCAAAACTTAAGGGCTGACTGACCCACAGCTTGCCTCAAAATCACCAATACAGTCCTTCTCTAGTCTTTCAATTCATAAATGACCAATTCATTTCTTGACCTACCCCTTGTTAAAGCTCACAGTTCTTACACACTGATATGGCCAGACATTCAAATCCACCCCGGCTCTGACTATTTCAGTATCCGGAAGGGTATGATTAAATTCCGAATCGAGTCAAATCGGATCGAATTTTATTTTTGAAGAACATGCTGCTTCGGCATTTATTTTCCACCTAATGCATGTAGGTGAAATCAATTGCATAACTATAGCATATACCAGTAGTTTAATATTATAAAGGAGATGTAACTAAAATTTATGAGATATTGAATGAAAAATATAGCGCCGCCCAGGATATCGAGGGCGTAAGCACATTGCTGAATCTCGTTAAAATTCTTGTGTTCTTTTCGTTTTCTGTACCCGATTATTCAACAACTTTCAACGTGTCTTTCAATAGACTTGAAGAAGGAGAAATCCCCACAAAAGGATGTTTCCCAAACTTTTCCAGCACATCATTCATGAACAAACTATGCACTTTGTGGGCCACCTAGACTTCTGGTCCCTCCCTGCAAGAGTAGCCTTCACAAAAATTCCAAGATGACCAGACTGCGTGCTTTAAGGTATGGCTTACCAGCAATTGGTATTGTACTAGTACTAATAGTCTTAAGTACTATTATGTATAGAAAACGCCAAAGTAAAAGCACAACTCTACCGGTTAAAGATGATTTATCGTCTTGGAAAACAATGACAAGAGTTTCACATGGTCAACTTTCACAAGCAACCGATGGATTCGACGAAAGCAGCACGCTCGGTTTCCGGAGTTTCGGATGCTTATACAAAGGGAGGCTTTCCGATGGAACAGAAGTTGCAGTAAAAGTATTCAATTTGCAGACAGAAAGAGCTTTCAGGAGTTTCGACATCAAATGTGAAGCCATGCGCAATACGGTTCATCGCAACCTTCCTAATGGAAGTCTCGAGAGCTGGTTACATTCCAAAAATCGTTCCCTCGACTTCTTACAAAGGGTCGACGTAATGATTGATGTTGCAGCAGCTCTAGAGCATCTCCACACCAGACATTCAACACCTATAATCCATTGCGACGTAAAACCGACTAACATTCTACTCGACGGCGACATGGTTGCACATGTGGGGATTTTGGCATTACCAAATTGTTGGGAGAAGGTGATGTGATGAACCAAACCATGATTCTTGCAACTATTGGTTACACGGCACCAGGTGAACTGATGATTGCATTCTATATTTTTGTTTCATGTGTATGCATATACATACATACATGCATACATATATAGCAGGATTAATGATGTTCTAATTATGCTTGAAATCTTTTCTTTAAAATGTGACGTCTACAGTTTCGGGATATGAAAACTTTTATAAGAAAAAGGCCAACTGATGAATTTTTTGCACAAGCAATAACTATAAGACATTGAATCAGAAGATTATTGTCTAAAGAATGTTGGATACTACAGATTTTGATTTATTAAGAAGAGATGACGAATATTTTGTTGTTAAAGCAAATTGAATTTCGTCCATCATGGATTTAGCTTTGGATTGTTCAGCTGAATTACCAGAAGAGAGAAAAGAGATGAAAGATGTTGTCATTGAGCTGAAGAAAATCAAACAAAGGTTTCTCAATATCATCCAACAGGTTTAATAAGCACGAATCGAATGACCTCGGTGGTAAATAAATTATTGTTATTCCTTGAAGTCCCGGGTCCTAACACCAAGAATACCAATAATGTGAGCTTCAATGTAAAAAGGTAAAAAATATCAATATCAAATTATTGTTATTCCTTTATTATATTTGGCAGGAAAGGAATAACATGTTCTGCAGATTCAGCTTGATGTTAGACTGAGATTAACAACGTGACGTTTCTTAAACACTATTAAATTTTATTTTTATTTTTGATTTTCCATTATTATTTTTTTCTAACAACGTACATCACTTTGTCTTATTTTTATATGACAAATAAACCAACAGCCAACCAATCCACTTATGTTAGGGTTTAAGAGCTCAGAGCTCATCCGAGTTCATGGTGTGAACATACGATGTGGGATGAACTTCTCTAATTCCCCTTTCTTTCTGAATTCTTACTCCCATGGCTCTGCATAAAAAACAATCAAAGAAAAAATTAAATAAAACACAATGGATATCATTAAATTATATTTAAATGATAGTTTTAATGTCGTATAATAGGGTAAAGTATATAAATGATCCCTCGACTTTAACATATTGTTTTGTTAAGTCTCTCGAATATTAAAAGTTACAAAATGATCATTCGACTATTCATTAACAATATTCTGAGCGGAATGTTAACTTGTTAGTTCTGATATAATAAAATTTGACCACAAAATTGCAATCGATTATCATATATTAGTTATCGTGTTAACGTCCAAGTTAGACAAACGTCAATTGTTTAACAGGAAAGGACGAGTTTAGAACCTATTGAATAGTCGGGTGATCATTTTGTAACTTTTAATAGTTAAATGACTTAATAAAACAGTACTCTATAGTTGGGGGACTATTTGTGTACTTTACCCCGTATAATATTACCTTCCGAGCATCATAATGGTAGCTTGAGGATTAGTTCCAGGCGTGAAATTAAAGGTGGAAGCATCGACAACCCTAAGTCCATCAACGCCGAGCACCTTGTAATCGTGATCCAACACCTTACCAACACTGCAGCCTCCATGATGATGCCAAAACGACATCACAGTGTCATTGCAGAATTGTTCCAAAGACTTTGCAGTGTCAAGGCTTCGAGGTCTCAGGTTAAAGGGGACCAGCGCCACCAGGTCCACCAGAAGCTGCGTCGGGATCAGTCGAAAACGGAAGTCCGAGAAGGATTCGGAACTCGCGACGTCAATCACGGTCTGCATGCCTCGCACACACATTTCCAGGTCCTCCGGTTCTTTGAAGTAGTTAAACCTCACTTTGGGGGTCTCGGTCGGATCCGTGCTCCGGAGCTCGACGTAGCCGGTCGACAGTGGACGAGCGACTTTATGAAGGATAACGCCACCCTTGAGTCTCGTGTCAAAGAAAGAGCTGATGTTGGTCTTCGTCCCGTCATGCACATGCAACAACCATGGCTGGTGTTAAAAATCATACCAAATTGTATACACAGACATATGTAGAATTTTATGATGAACTTATAAAATTTCAGGATAAAAACATATTATAAATAAAAATATATAATTTTTTAAAATTCATGATAAATCAAAAACAATTATCTAAGGACGAAGTCAGAATTAAACTACGAGGCAACCAAATTATCTAACTTTGGAACAAATAAGGTCTAAAAAATAATTAAACCATAAAATTAAGAGATTAAGGGTTTAGTTTGACAAATTTAAAAACTTAAAGATCTTAAAAAAGTAATTAAATAAGACAAATTTAGGGTCAAACTTTAACTTCATTATTTTTAAAACTTACAGTGTTCTAAAAAGTAATTATATCAAAAAATTATGAGAGGGATAAAGCCTTAATTGCAATAGTTTTAGAACTACTAATGACCAAAATGGTAATTATACCATTAAAGGAGGGATCATTGCCCCTCCCACCTATAATATAGTTCTGTCCTTGTGACTATCTATCTGTGTTTCGGTCCATCCCTTGTAATAAAAAATATGTAGCCTCCACTTAAATTTGTTTTGATCCGAAAATTATGCATCTTTTATTATATCCGACTTGAAAATTATACATCTTTCGCCTGACCTTAATTTTTAGAGTATAAGTCTGACCTGACCCGCCTTGATATAAAACGAGGGCTTAATTAAAAAAAATAAACTTTTTAAATTACTATCTCCAGATCAAGTCAGGTTAGGTCGGAGGTTTTCACCCTCTACTCGAACTCGACCCGATCTCACTTCCTTAAAGAATCTGACTCGATCACACCTGAATCCGATTTCTTTAAAAAAAATTATGACTATCAGATCGGATTGAGTCAGAATGTGTAAGTTTCAAGTTAAATTGTCATCTCTTTATACGCATAGATATGGAATAGAAGGTAAAAACCTGGTTTAAGAAGTGGAGGATGAAGTCAGGAATCCAGCCGATAGAAGGAAGCAAATTGAATCCACTGCCTGCTTCGATATAATTAGTAGGCAGGTATATGCCCACAACCGAGAGGAGTGAGACCTCAACAGGCTCAGGGGAAGGAACAAAAAGAAAGTTCAATGGATTGTCGCCAAGGCCTTGGCCAACCATGGGCTGGTCCAGCACCACCTCGATGCCAAGTGCCTCTAGTTGATCGGCTGGTCCGATTCCGCTCAGCATCAACAGCTGTGGGCTCCCGATGGCACCTGCTGATATGATTACTTCGCCCTTGGTGTTCTTTGTTAAAAGTGCTGTGTGTTTTACTCCCGATTCATCCTCGAAGATCACCCCCTCAGCTTTTGGTCGTGATCCAGCTGCTAAAAATCACTTAGAATGGTTTATGGATCATCCAATAGAGTGATTTCATATTGATGGAACACTGAGGATTGTTGGTTGAACTCATTTTCCTCTAGATTATGAGTTGATTTTCATGGGGTTTAAAGAAATCTTAAGAAAATCTAAAATGATTGAATGATACTTGATGATGAGACAAGTTTATTGTCGTCCAGAGTGATTAGTGAAGACATCAAAGAATGAAAGATTTGACGACGACGTATGTGGATGAAATAATTGTTTAAAAAATTGTTGGAAAGATGACAATGCATATAGACAAGTTTAGTATCTAAACTTGTTTTTTTTTAAATTTAGCGTTAAGTTTTTAAATATTAATATGAAACAAAAAATTAAATGTTATGTATAATTTTGAAACAATCGAAAGTTTAAGTACTAAAATTGATAGTTTAGGTACTAAACACTTAGTTTACCCAATATAATATGATATAAACTTACTTTCTTGTGTAAAAATGATCTTGTGCGCTGTGGCATGCAAGTAAACCTTGATATTCTTTGGGTCAGCATACTCAAGCAAGTCGGCTGCACTGTGTCTATGATCATCCATATCAAAAATGGTTGAGCCAATCTTGGTCCCATTTACATGGCTGTGCGTAACTCCGTTGAAAGGTAAAACCCCAGATTCAAGCAACCCATCCCTCACTGCAGCTTGCCACTCCGATACAGGTGCCTCGAATACTATCTTCTTTTCGACCCACCGATACGAATCATTTACCAGAGCTTCATCCAAGCCAGAGTTCTTTACGAACTCCAAGTCGGCATGCGAATAAAATCCCGCGTTGATGACGGAGCCGCCACCGAGCGCACGTGCTCGGTGGCTGTATACTCCGTCCTCCGTAACAAATATTTCGGTAAACGAATCGGGAAAGGTGTCTAAGATATTGAGCACGAAGTTGCCTTTGTCCGTCTTCTCAGGCTTGCCATAGGGAGACCCTCCCCTTTCTAAGACTAAAACATCGGCCGTCTCCGACAGAGTCGCGGCCAACGGACAGCCGGCGACTCCTCCCCCGACTACGATGTAGTCGTGATACGAGACCTCCGGAGCCGTGCTTGCTTCTTGCACAAAACTGTAATGCGGAGCTGCAAGATCATAAATATAGTTATAACAAAATCCGAACATGAATCATAAAACAGAAATATCGAATAAAAAATTTAGACCTGTCTCTGCATGACAAAAGTAGGGTTCCAAAGTGAAAGCAGCAACAACGAAAGCCTGGAGAAACCACCATAATCCCATATCCATGGCGTCTTTCATGATTAGTTTGTCCATGCATTACCAAGACGTAATGAAGAATTAGGTTTGAAACACATGCACAAGCATATAGAGATAGCTAGAGAGACACGTATGTTGGAGCATGTCTTTATGATTTTACTATATCTATGCATGCACAAAACATATATGTAAACAGCAGAGTAGGTTTAAGTAAGAAGGAATTTGAAATAGCAAGGACTAAAGAAAGATTTTACCTAAAGGGAGCACGGTGGTGATATTGCGCGGTGGGTTTAGGGATGGGTTAGTTGAAGGAGAAGAAGCGTTGATAAAGGGTGGTGTGGAATCTGTGGATAGCTTGGGAACAGAGGGTGTGGCCGGTGATCATCCAAGTGTCCGAGAATGACGACGGTTTCAAAGTTTCTGGATTCGTGGATGAGGAAGCTCGGGTGAAGATAGTGACGGATGAAGTGAGATGATTGTCTTTCCCCTTCTCACGTTCTCTTTAGTTTAAGTATTGATAGAAATATTAAATTCGTTAAATTTTTAACGACGAAATATTAAAATGAAACAAAAGTTAAATATTATATATGATTTAGAAAAAAAATTAAAAAAATTATATATTAAAACATATCAAAACTAATAGTTTAAAATTAAACGTAAAATTTACCTATATACTGAATTATTTAAAGAAGACTTACAATCGTAAATGGCATTACATGCATAACAAAAAGCCAAAGACGCTAAGTAAATATAAACCAAAGAACTTGCAACTTGTTCGACGGGGCTCTGTCGCAAGAAAGCTACCTCCCTTGCAAAAAAATACATTACTTCTCAATCAAGGATCGACTAGGATAGGACGGTTGGATAGTCATCCCTTAAAAATTTAAAATTATCATAAATTTTAAATTTTTTTATGTATTTTCTATTGGAAATATGTTTCGTGTCCCTAAAATTTTATAAATTTAAATTAACTCCTAAAATTATAAAAATTCAAGGTCACCCTTAACCTAAAATTCTACGAACATCCCGTTGTCGATATATGCCAACGAATGTGACGTTCTTGGAAGATTTGCATGTGGAACAGTTCAAACACAGTGGCAAAACGGCCAACCATGAAAGCCATGCATCTTAGACCACAAATAATGTTGTTCCTTTTCTAACAAGTAATCTCAAAATTGTAGTTAAAATTGGACAACAAAATTAGAAGAAGAAATTGATAAAAATAACATTGTGCTTCGTCATTCTGATGATAAAAGGATCAATTTTATTTCATCTCGTGAAGAAATATAAAATGAACAAATAAATTATAAAGAAAAATCAGAAACACATAATTATGCTAAGAGATACGAGTGGGACACTCATCTACGTCTTTTTACAGGTATGTATGATTGTATTTTTTTTTGGCAAAAGGGCAATATGGATTGACGCGCATCATTTTTCGTGTCAAAATAATTTTTTTCTTCTTAATTAATAAACAAAGAAAATTTAACATAGTAAAAGAGAAGTAAGGGTCGATCCCACAGAGACTAAGGAAACTTCCTGATTTAGTCGTACTTTGTTTAATCTCTGAGCCAAGAAGTGGATGGAGTAGAATTTGAGTAAAGGTAGAGATTTATAGATGAAGAGAAATAAAATAGAAGAAAGAAAAATAAAACGATTTCAAAGAAGATTAAAAAGAAATTAAAACCAACCTTAGGCTTTCACTTTGAGTCAATTTCCTTTGGATCATCGAATTAGATTTTCCTTTCAAAATTCACGTCGGTTACTTTGTCTACAAGGACAATCCTCGTGACTCTTCTTTGTATACTGAATACCCAAAGCAATCTTTGATTCTAGCTTCGGAAATTGATCTTATCAATGTCAATTTTCGTAGATCAATAACCGTTTAAGTTCGTGAAGATCGACTCGGATTGTTGTTTCAATAACTACTAATTCCGATCTCAATTCCCTCTTAGCAAGACAATCTTACCAAGTGTGTTCCCAAGAATTCGAATGTGATTTTAATAAGTCGATCATTCCTCCCACACATTTAATCGCAACAACATCTTGACCAAAATCAATATTTGATTTTAAAAACTATTTTGATTTTGAAAATAAGCATAGAGGTTAAGAGAGATATTTCGAAGTTATTCAAGTGTTTTTCAATTCTCATATTGGAATTGAATCATCGCTTTAACCCTCGACTTGAAAGAAAATTAAAGAAAACGAAAATAAAAGATTTTTTATTAAAACTAAAGAAAGGACGATTCAATTAGGCTTACCCGTATTTATAACCTTCTAAAAATCCTAAAAAAAGAAAATAATAATTCCTAAAAACAATAGATAATTCTTAAAATATTTAAACTAAAATCCTAAAAACATAAGTTTAACTTAAATTTAAATTTAAAAAACACGGAAAACTCATTCGTCATTCTAGAAACGTTGACAGATGTATCATGTCCAGAGTTATACCCACCAATCCGACCATGTAACCAATGTGTTGATCATGGGGGCAGGACCAATCGGTCTCGTCACATTGCTGGCGGCTCGGGCTTTCGGGACACCTAGAATTGTCATTGTGGATGTGGATGAACATCGACTATCTGTTGCTAAGGGTCTCGGTGCCGACGGAGTTGTTAAAGTTTCGACTAATATGCAGGACATACCCGAAGAAGTTGAAAGAATAGTTAAAGTGATGGGAACAGCAGTGCATGCAAGCTGTGACTGAGTAGGTTTTAGCAAAACAGTGTCTACTGCTCTGAGTGCCACTCGAGCCGGTGGCAAGGTTTGCCTCATCGGACTCGGCCACAACGAGATGACCGTCCCTCTGACTCCGGCTGCAGCTAGGCTGTATCAATTTATTTATTTGTTTGTTTATTGGGAACCAGACGAGGACGACACTCACTGGCTCATGGATTGTTTGCAACCAGGTTGATGTCGATGGGGAAGGTTAGCTCGTTTTGCTTACCACCTTTTCCGCTCTATTTCTCTGTTTGGGGGTACCCTACCCTTTAACGGAGGTGGAGTTGACAGAACCCAAAGGATAAGACGGTTCGATGTGCAAGGATGGGTAAGAAGTTCTGTTTCTCAATAACATTGAAGATCACGCCCTGATATTTATGGCAATCGAATATGAGTTCTTAAAAAATAACAATATTTTTTTTACTATAGAGGTTACTTAATTCATTCATAGTATATAAATAACAATATTTATGACAATCGAATATTGAATAATTTATTTAATTTTATATTTTTATCAATAAGATAATGACACATATCATTGTTTTATTAAAATATCAAGTTTATTAAATTATTTATAATTAATATGTTGATCGAATTAAATCAATTTATAAATATAAAAAATTAAATTTATTGAAGTATGATTAAATTAATATAGTATATAAATATTGTACTTTTAGTAGTCCCTATACTAAGTAAAAGTTGTGGACTTAATCCATATATTCTAATTTAGTAACTTTGAACTCTTGTGCTTTTCAAATTTTGAAATTTAACCATTTGTTCCTGTAATATACGTAAGTCAAATTCGACCTCTGATAAAACATGGAAAGCTACCATTAATGAAACAAACCACACCTCACGGAACAAGTCTTGAGCACTTTGTGCCTCTAATGAATAGCACACATCTTTATATAAGCTTCATCTTTAACACTTTGCTTAACAGTACACAAGTCAGCAACTGCAAAACTATTGCTGCAGTTTCTCAAGGTAAGTCCCGGGACGGCGAAAAAAACCACATTCAATTCAGTACAATAGTTACAGGGAGAGATCCGTGTCCGAAACCACAAAGTTGCTAGCTTCACAGCATAACGATTAGGTTAACGTAATACATCGAATCATTTTGTCTGAGAGTTTGCTTCACCGACACGTAAGAGAAGAATAAACTCAGACGTATATCGTGATGGGAAATTCGAGAGGTATATAAACTCGATACTAAGAATTAATGACAATCACAAGGGTCGAGATAAAATGGGTTTAATCAACTGGCAAGCTTAAAAGCATCGATGAAGAGTCCATAAGTGAAACCCATCTTGAAATTGTTGAGAAGAGCAATGGGGAAGGTTACCTTCGGACGGCTGTAATAGAACCTTGTCACATACTCCGTCAGTAGCACACATACGACCGCTGCAATCACATCATTTACTCCTAAAGCTCCGAAGGACAGAGAGATTGTTTGTGCGACGTAAAAACCTCCCAACAGGGAGATTCCACCAAAAAGTGCCCTTCGAGAAGGGCTTCGAAAGTAATTCCTGGAAATGTCGGGCACAAGCCTTATGATGTCAACCAATCTTCGAGGACCTCCATTCTCTTGCACTGCTCGGATGGTAAGAAACCCTCGTGATGATCGAGTGGTAAAAGACTTTCCTGTAAAAAGTCTTGTTTGAGGAGACAAACCGAATTTGAAGCTTGCAGAAATCAAACTCATAAGTGTCGTTTATAGTTTTTTCGTCAAAACTGTTCAAAAGGATCAGACAGGATGCCTCTCCTGGAACACAGGTAGACGATAAGGTTGGACGTGAACCTGTGGATGGAGGAAAATAAAATCGTTAACAAAACAACGAAAAGAAAAGGAAATCGTGCGCGTGCATGTGTGTGTGTTCTTGGTATAATAATGAGACATTAAAAACAAGCATCCAATTAACAGCAAGCATCCAAGACATGGCCTGACTCAGCTGAAAAATCTACGGCATTTCAAATGCAAATTGTGTTGACATGGAATATATGATATCCTTCGGGTAATTATGAGCAGCCGACTCGACCTCTAGGCCAAAAAAGAAACACCATTGTTATCTTTCACCTATATGCTCACATGATCCAGCTAACTCGTTTTCTCCTATTCGACTCGAACTTCATAAGTAAACAAAAACTCATTTAACTACAGGATACTCTGTCTACACTCTACATCGACGAAATTCGATTAATTTCTTCTCCAGCAAATAGTAAACAAAACATTTCAAGGACAAAACCCAAATCCCAAATCACATCTAAGCCCTATCATGTCGAAAAAAGGAGCAGATAAACCAGCAGAACGGGTCCAATTAAGAATCAAAGGTGTTATGCATATTTTTATTAATCATTTGGGTAATCACAGCTTCACCATTGATATTCAACCTGGCATTTTAACCACTGCCCTCTACTATTCAAATTGAACTAATTTCAAATCTGTGCTCAAGAAGAAAAACCTATTCTTGAATGCCAAAACTGGGTCATACAGCAGCTTATTATGACGAACTTTGCTCAGACGAACTTTTCAGTAATAATCAACAATAAAAAGAACGAATTCAAAACCCCCAATTCCACAAATTTGGTAATTGTATGCACCTAACTTAGATTGTGTGAAAAAAAGATGCAAATTTAAGATCTTCATATGATTAGCTAAGCCATGGTTGAAGAGACTTTACCTACGAACCGAAACCCAGAAGATTCATAAGCTCCAGTTCCGCAAATATTATTGATAATGAACGGAATAGGATTTAGTGGCGGAAACCTTGTTCTTTTTCTTTTTCTCTTTTGTATTGAGAGGTGGATAATTTCGGTTCGGTCGAGTTGGAGTTAATTACATAATATGTCCTTAAATTATGATTTTTATTTTTATTTTAAATTGGTATTTAAATTTTTAAATATTCTAATTTAATCCTTATATTATGATACTTGTTCTAAATTAGTCCTCAAACTTTTGAACATTTCAATTTCATCCTCAAACTATGACCCTTATTATAAATCATTCCTTAAAATTTTAAATCTTCCAATTTCATCCCCAAATTCATCCAAATATGTAATTGATTTTAACCATAATTTAACCTAAACTTTATTTTTTTCAAACATATAATAATATAACTTGATCTAACGATTTTATTAACTTGGAACATGATTAGTATACATATATAATTTGGGTGAAATTGAAATGTTGAAAATGTTTGGGGACAAATTTAGAATGAATGATATATTTGGGGATGAAACTAAAATATGAAAAAGTTTGATGACTAATTTAGAATGATAGTCATAGTTTAAGGATAAAATTGAAATATTTAAAAGTATAGTACTAATTTAAAACGAGAAATATAGTTTGAAAATGTATGATGCGATTAACTCTTCAAGTTGTATAAGATATGTTTATTCTGGATATATATATATATATATATATATATTAAACTAATAATTATAATTAATTTTAGGGTATAGTACTCAAATGAGTCGATTATGGGATGTTGTTTTTTAAGTCAGTCGACTATTAAAAATTATAAAAATTTTCCCAACTATAGGATATTGTTTTTGTTGAGTCTCTCGACTATTAAAAATTGCAAAATAATTATTTGACTATTCATATGTTTCAAACTCGTCTTTGTCGTTAAAAAATTGATGATAGTCTAAGCTTGATGTTAACTTATTGACCGTTAAAAAATCGATAACAATCTAAGCTTGATGTTAACATATTTAATGAGATATAATAGTCGTTTGAGATTTTGGGATAAGATTTTATCGTATTACAATTAGTAGGTTAATAACTAGTTGTTAATTTTTTAACAGAAAATTATGAGTTTAGAACATATGAATAGTTGAGTGATCATTTTGCAATTTTTAATAGTCGTATGACTCAACAAAGTAATACCTTATAATTGGGGTATCATTTCGTAACTTTTAATAGTCAATGAACTCAACAAACCAGTATCATATAGTTAAGTGATCATTTGTGTTATTGAATAAATTAAGATATATATATATATAATAAAATTACAATATTAAAAGGATAGTCCATATAAAAATACGTCAATTATATTAAAGTTATCTTAGAATACAAATTAATCATTAATTAATGAAATATTAATTTACAAAGAGACGATCATAAAACATAATTAAATAAATTTAGAAAGAATAATAAATGTAAACAAATATTAGTAATAATAAGGTATGATAAATAATATAAACATTAACATAAATATATAATAACAATGATGTTATTATCTACCTGTATTTAAGAAATCTCCATTTTCGCATAACTTTTAATATAAATATTTACATTTGATATGATATAATATATATAATATATATTTTAAATAAAAAAAAATAATTATCTTTAAATATATAAAATTATCATTATTATTATCATGTCCTATTAAATCATATTTTTATCTTAAATGCTACCTAATTTCATTTTGAAGGGAAAAAAATCAACCCTATATGAATCTATTTTTTAAAAAATATCTATAAAATTAAGAGTAAATTATACTTGCCCTTGCGAAGAGCTGTCCATCGCTGCTCCAACGGTCTTTTCTGTAAAAACCAAAACTTTGTACAAAAGATAGACTCGATAATAGAGGGCGCACTGAGACAGACAAAGAGGTATGCCTTGGGAAGAGCTGTCCATTACTGCTCCAACGGACTTCTTCTTCTGTTGTGCTCTATCTCTATCTGCTAATCTCTTGCCAGGTTCGTCTCTCTCTCCCTATTTGTAGTTTTTTTTAGTGTTTTGGAGTTGATGGTTGAATTTGAAAACTGGGTTTTCTTAATCTCTGTCCGTGGAAAGGAACGATTTTGGATCTGGGGATGCCCAGTTTCGAGGTAGATTTTTCATGGGTTTTTGTTGAATTTTGCCTCTTATTTTGCGTGATTTTGATGGCTTTTTAGGTGATGGGCTGTGGTTGCTTTGGAGGTTTTGAGCTGATTGGGAAACAAATGGCTTTTCTTTTCATGTGATTAGGGTTTTCGATGGGTGATCATCTGGTTTGTTGAGGGTTTTGTGTGATAAAGTTTTTCTTTTTCTTATTTTATGTTAGATTGTGAATAATTTTCTTCTTTGAGCTTGGATTAAACTCTCATGGTTCTGTAGTTTCCTTTAAATTTTGCAAAGAATGCTTCATTTGGAGCTGAATTAAAGTGCTTGATTGTGATAATTGCAATTTTTTTACAGTTCCAGGAAATTCAAGAGAACTAAGATGAGTTCTCAGGTGCGCATGTAAGATTATGATGTTTTGGGTTGATATAATCTTGTCATGATTTCCAGTTCCGTGTTCTTCGATGCAAGTTTAGCTGTCAAAGCTCAACAACTACCAATGAAAGTCTTATGTTTTAGGAGTCTTGATCTCAAGTATGGATTTGGTAAGATTTGTGTGAACATGGAAATATATAAATCAAAGTTTTGACAATTAGAATTTGACTAGCTTGTTTCCTTGGGAGACTAAGTTGTTGCCAGCTGCCCTAAAGCCTAGGGGTGTTAAGCTTACATCCTGAATCACTTTTGATTAGTTGGACGTCTGAAAAGTGTTATGGCTGTTGCCAAGAGCAGCAGCTTCAATGAAACGTCAAAGCAGCCGTGTAATTGCTACAAAGTTGCTAGCTTGAGTGAAATGATATTGGAGACTGACCAAACTGCAAATTTGAGAGATCGATACATTCTTGGAGAGCAATTGGGTTGGGGTCAATTCGGTGTTATTAGTTTGTGCTCAGATAAGTTGATGAGAGAGGTGTTGGCATGCAAGTCCATATCTAAAGATAGATTGTTAACCTCTGATGATGCACGGAGTGTCAAGCTTGAAATCGAAATAATGACTAGGCTATCAGGGCATCCAAATGTTGTAGATCTCAAGGCTGTTTATGAGGACGAAGACTATGTTCATTTGGTTATGGAGTTTTGTGCAGGTGGGGAGCTTTTTCACCGGCTTGAGAGGTATGGCCGTTTTCCCGAGGCAGATGCTAGAGTCCTCTTTAGGCATCTGATGCAAGTGGTCCTATATTGTCACGAAATTGGGATTGTGCATAGAGATTTGAAGCCAGAGAATATCCTCTTAGCAACAAAAGCCTCATCATCACCAATCAAACTAGCAGATTTTGGTCTTGCAACATATATATCGAGAATGGTAGAGTTACGTTTCTTCTTTTCCCTTCTTTAACCAAGAACATTTTTCACACAGTACTTGTTTACTTCCTCGAAACTTTTGAGACTTCTATGTTTTGAACAATTCTGGTGTTTGTTACCAACAGGGCAGTGTTTGGTTGGGGGATATAATCAGGCTGCTGATATTTGGAGTGCTGGGGTGATTCTGTAAATACTTCTTAGTGGGACTCCACCATTTTGGGGTAAAACGAAATCATGGATATTTGATGCTGTGAGGGCAGCTGATTTGCAAATCCCATCAGATCCTTGGGATCGGATTTCTGGTTCTGCAAAGAATTTAGTCAGGGGAATGCTCAATACAGATCCTTCTCAAAGGCTCACTGCACTGCAGGTTTTAGGTATGTCGGATTCCCTGCAAACAATCGTCGTAAATTTACCGGTGCACGCAGATGACATTAGAATGATAATTTAATCATTATCTTCCGACTTCCATGGCTATTTAAGGATGTATAAGTCACTGTAGATTGTTTCCTTTCTTGCATGTTACCGGAAATTTCCATCTTCAACCAAAAGCTTAATGTTAAATCGTTTTCTTTTAGACCATTCATGGATGAAGAATGATGAATCTTGTCGAGCAGAATCAAATGAGGTTGTATACCAAAGTTGTGGAGAGTTGGAGTTTCATAGTGGCTCATTTTCCATGTCTAGGGATCAGGATATCAGCTTTGGTGCTGGATCGCCAATCATTTATGATGTTCAGTCACCGACGTTAACCTACAGAACATCGTTTTCTTCTTCCTTTGTGGAGCCATCTACACCTTGCTTAGCAACGGGTGGATTTTCTTTCCGCAGCATCAATTCTGATACCTTAGAATTTCATTCTGCCATTCCTTCAATGCCGAGCTTTGCATTCTTCAGCCCTAGTTCCAGGGTTGAAGAAGAGAGTTGCAAATCAGATTTGTCGACCAACATTATTCAGATGGAGAGATTAAATGGAGGTAATTTGTGCTAAATCATCTTACAAATCTTTATGATTTGTTGTTCTCATACTGAAATTATGTCTTGCTTCATCACATGAATGCAGGGTTGGACAAGCTGCTCGTATTAACCGATTCTTCGCTTTGCTTTGGGCCCGAGGCAAGAGAAAAGGAGATCAAGGCAGCTGAATTCGAAAGGACAGGAGGAACGAGCGGGTCCAGGTTGTTGTTGGCCTTCCACAGCAAGAGGAACCGCACCATCGGTCACGGCAAGCGAGAACAACTCGATTTCATGGTGTCTGAATCTGTCATCCGATGGGCATCATGCACAAATCTCCCAACAGCCACGTCCCTCAGGTCATCTCTCGTCTGTTGAGCTGTCGGTGTGAATCGAAATAGTTCCGATGGAGGGTCAACATTGCACATCCGGTGCATAGCACCGGCTCGTAAGCCCGGCGTTATTGGATTGCTGGCTTTAGCATTTTAACCGGTAGATACAAGTAGGTAGAGACCGAGAGTAACAAGTTGGTGGTTGCTGGGACTTTGATTCGTTGTATAAAAGGAACTTTACAAAATTTTTCCAGGTTTCATATTTTGGCTTGTTTAAACAGTAAATGTGTAATATTCTGTATCAGCTTCCTCTGTTTATTTTTAAACACGTATTTGACCCTCAAAGTTATCCACTTTTATCACTTTG